AGAGTCACACCAGGGGTGAAGTAACATCAGAGTGAGTTGTGTGGGGTGGTGTAATACGTACCAGAGGAAGTAGTGTAGAGGGGACAGAGTCACACCAGGGGTGAAGTAACATCAGAGTGAGTTGTGGGTGGTGGTGTAATACGTACCAGAGGAGGTTGTGTAGAGGGGAGAGAGTCACACCAGGGGTGAAGTAACAACAGAGTGAGTTGTGTGGGGTGGTGTAATACGTACCAGAGGAAGTAGTGTAGAGGGGACAGAGTCACATCAGGGGTGAAGTAACATCAGAGGGAGGTGTGGGTGGTGGTGTAATACGTACAAGAGGAAGTAGTGTAGAGTGGACAGAGTCACACCAGTGGTGAAGTAACATCAGAGAGAGTTGTGGGGGGTGGAGTAATACGTACCAGAGGGGAGAGAGTCACACCGGGGGTGAAGTAACAACAGAGAGAGTTGTGTGGGGTGGTGTCATACGTACCAGAGGAAGTTGTGTAGAGGGGAGAGAGTCGCACCAGGGGTGAAGTAACAACATAGTGAGTTGTGTGGGGTGGTGTAATACGTACCAGAGGAAGTTGTGTAGAGGTTGGGCTGTAGATTTACTGCGATGAATATTGTGCGTATAGGCATAAATCGTAGCACCATTGCCATCAGGGTCTACCTCCATGCGTGCCTAAAACAAAGTTTTCAATATTTCCTTATGTTCATCTTTTAATTACCCGACTGCTTTTTCTTAAACTTCTGAACATGTATTGCTTATCATTGGAAAAGTCTGAATTCACTGATAGTTAAAAATATTGCTCATATTACAATTTTGCTTTTCAGTGGCTTTCAATTAAACATAATGTGATATTGTATCAAGACATTTACACTGTAGTAACAAGTACCCATGTATTAATAAAAAGTATCTATACAATTCATTTATGACTGGAGTGAAGGCTTCATTCAATCAGAAATTTACATTACCTCGAAAGCATGGTTTTCCACCAGGGAAATGTCTCGTTCATCTAACAAAGCATATTTTACCTGGAAACACAGAAGTAACATTAAATGAATTTAACTAATTTTGCATTAAAACAGTCTTCAAATACATGAAATATACAAATGAATAAGAATTAAGATGTAGTTGACCCACATCTACTTCCTGTGTTACTACTCACATACTGTGATATTAATTAACATATGTTTTTAAAAGGGAGTGGACAGTGCAGTGGATCAGGGAAGTAAAATCGAAGTGCACTCGTTACGGAAATCCCAAGAATTATCTGATGAAATTTTGTTTGTTTTGAATACTTCTGTTCTCCTAAGATTATGTTAGCCCAAAATCTTACAACAAATCTGAAGATTTTTTTTTAATAGATTAACAGAACTACAGCTTATATCACGATCAGATCTAGACTTAGAAAGCTCAGCAAGTGTCTTTCCCAAGTTCAGCGAGTGTCTGTTCCAAGCTCAGCGAGTGTCTGTTCCAAGCTCAGCGAGTGTCTGTTCCAAGCTCAGCGAGTGTCTGTCCCAAGCTCAGCGAGTGTCTGTTCCAAGCTCATGTACCATTGTTTTCCATAAACCCTGTGACATTGTTTTTGCTGCCCAACAAAATATACTTAATCAGGTAGTCAAGAGCCTAGCATTTTTTCAGGGTCAAGGTCACACTTCGCAGGACTGAGGGAGGATGTGGCAGATTATGGTGAGATTGAAAACCTATTACCACCTATAAATGTAGATCAATTGTTTAGAGTGCTTGCCTCAATTTGGAGGTGAGGGGTTAAAATACTTATCTGACATTTGCATTTTCCCATTCCTGTTGAATTTCAATACATTTAATTATTAAACAGATGGTGTTATTGGGTCTCATTTGTCTTCAGTGTTGACTTGTTTGTACCGGTAAATGTCTCCACCCTTCTAGAGTCGACTATATATAACACCCCAGTACATGTTACCTATAGGCTAGCTATGTGTTCCTATAACTGCCCAGTACATGTTACCTATAGGCTAGCTATGTGTTCCTCCTCTAACTCTAGAGTCCACTATATATAACACCCCAGTACATGTTACCTATATATAGGCTAGCTATGTGTTCCTATAACTGCCCAGTACATGTTACCTATAGTCTAGCTATGTGTTCCTCCTCTAACTCTAGAGTCTACTATATATAACTGCCCAGTACTATAGGCTAGCTATGTGTTCCTATAACTGCCCAGTACATGTTACCTATAGGCTAGCTATGTGTTCCTTCTCTGACTCTAGAGTCTACTATATATAACTGCCCAGTACATGTTTATAGGCTAGCTTTGTGTTCCTCCTCGGACTCCACACATTTAATATACCCCCAGTTTATTACCACCAATAATTATAAACTACATTTTGAATAACATAAAACAGGTTGATACAAGCTTGAATTCATTCACTCGACTAACCTCTGTTTACATTTCTGCATTATAAATGTTTACATGTTCACCGCTGCGTGACCTAAGAAGGCAGGCAGTGGAAAGTATATACAATACAAAAGAATGGTGGTCCTTCAGTCTTGGTGACGGTATCATCTAGTGGTAGAGCGGGACTGGGTGTAGCAACACCAGTATCAACAGTGTAATCAATTAAACAATAAGTTCACTCCCTTTTGGTATAATTAACAAAGGCTTGTTACTTCTGACTCATGATCCCTTGTCCTTGATTGAAGTTTTAAACTCGTTTTGACCTGCTATGGGTGTTTATAACAAATTGTATAGTTTTGCATCGGATCTTTGACATTGTGTAAAAGAGAAATGCACAGGACATAAATACTAAATATAGTAATTAACTAGTGAACCCTGTGTATAGTAATTAACTAGTGAGCCCTGTGAACTAGTGAGCCCTGTGTAAAGTAATTAACTAGTGAGCCCTGTGCATAGTAATTAACTAGTGAGCCCTGTGTATAGTAATTAACTAGTGAGCCCTGTGTATAGTAATTAACTAGTGAGCCCTGTGTATAGTAATTAACTAGTGAGCCCTGTGTATAGTAATTAACTAGTGAGCCCTGTGTATAGTAATTAACTAGTGAGCCCTGTGTATAGTAATTAACTAGTGAGCCCTGTGTATAGTAATTAACTAGTGAGCCCTGTGTATAGTAATTAACTAGTGAACCCTGTGTATAGTAATTAACTAGTGAGCCCTGTGTGTAGTTATTAACTAGTGAGCCCTGTGTATAGTAATTAACTAGTGAACCCTGTCCTGTGTATAGTAATTAACTAGTGAGCCCCGTGTATAGTAATTAACTAGTGAACTCTGTTTATAGTAATTAACTAGTGAACCCTGTGTATAGTAATTAACTAGTGAGCCCTTTGTATAGTAATTAACTAGTGAGCCCTTTGTATAGTGATTAACTAGTGAGCCCTGTGTATAGTAATTTACTAGTGAACCATGTGTATAGTAATTAACTAGTGAGCCCTGTGTATAGTAATTAACTAGTGA